AAGAACCTTGTAGCGGCGAACTCAGGGACTGGGGTATTAAGAAGAAAAATGAGATAAAGCTTTTACATTGACACGATGAACTTCTACCCAGAACTTTTCCTCAGATATAGACCACCTCAGTCGGGCACCTAGGGCGTCCCCCAAGAGGCCCGTCGCGCGGCGAAGGCAAGGACGCGCAGACGCGACAAAGGAGCGAGTCCAGCCAGGGTGAATATCGGTCGAGGAAATCCTCGACAGGGGGGTCGTACCTGTTGGGCTGGGTCATGGGGGGTCGTACTCTTGGGGTCAGTAACAGCAGTGGTATCGTGGTGCAGATAGGTAAGAGGGTATAGCGCAGCAGAAAATGAAATCTGAAAAAAAAAACATGATATTAAATTTTCTTTGCAGGTTCAGTCGCTCCATTCCTCCACCTTCATGAGAAGGGCGTATTTGAAGGCAGTACAAAGAATGAAAGTGCATCCCCGCAAAGAAGACTGCCACATGTGCGCACGCGCTGCAAAGGCACCTCCTCTGCCTATCGCTCGCTCCTTCTCCCTTAATACCTCGCTGAGAATGACACTGTTGTTAGGGACCCTGTCGCAAAAACGACAACCGTGAAGGAAAAGCGCTGGGCAAATGAAGTTGTTCTTTAGGTTGTAGGAGTTACGAAATGCGTTTACTACAATGCAGCTTCTGTCAACTGGTCATGATCATATAACACCTTTCAATCGATTCTGCAACTGTGAGTGGAGCACGGATGCATGGCTTACACCAATACGAAATCGGATGATGACGATTGCCCCTATTCTTATTGCTTGCGTTGAAAGATTTTGTTCTAGACACATTCCGAGTGTTGCCAACGAATCACACTTGCAATGGTGAAGGAGGGAGCGGATTTTCAGGTGGCCGGATCCGTCCTCGATACATACTCGACGCAGATATCTTCTCAACTAGGAATGTAGAAGAAAGCTAAGAAGACCATCAGAAAGCGCAAACCTTCCGCTTTCCAAAACTGTCTTCCCTTTTTCAGGACCTTACGGCATTAGAGAGATATTGCTTTTGAAGTGGCAAAAACTAGCATGAAAATTTCAGCGTCCTCGACATTTACTCGACGAAATTTGAGAGACCCTATCTTTCTGCATGGAAGGCTTTCAGAGCAATTTCAATACTTCTTGGAAACGCGAAATCCAGCTCTATCTAACCCTACCTCAAACTGCTTCAAAGGTTATGAAATGGAAGAGGATGCAACCTTTTCATCGAGGGTGTAGATTTCGACGGTTTTTTTCGGGATTTCAGCAAATCTGACCCAGTGACAATCGCGCCGCAGCTGCCGTTTGAATCGGCCGTTGATTGATACACTCGGCGTTTCGATATACTCTAAGTAGGAATTAAGATTAAATCGCAACCCCGTGCCTTCAGGATTTCTGTGCATTTCTGAACGAACCTGACTTTGAGGTCACACAAAGTTAATGCCTCTTTCCTCGAGTCGATATTTCAGTAAATACACAAAAGTGTGCAGCGATGAAAGACAGTGCATAGATGACAAGATGAGGCGTCCATAACATTATTTTGCAGGACTTTTTTTTGATTTAATTTGCAGGATTTTTTCTTTATTTATTTGCAGGATTTTTTTGATTTTGATTACTTAATTGAATTAATTTGCTCTGTTTTAGGGGGTCGTGCCAGGATCTCGATTTCGGGGGGGGGTCGTACTTCTGCGACCACGTACTCGACACGATTTTCACCCTGCTCTGGACCGGCATTTGATAGCGGTTAAGCGTCAGTTTTGAACTTAGGGGGAGGTGGTAGCATAATACGTTTCATACTCGCACAGCACGGCACTGGCGACTGGTCGTCCCTTGCCAGCATCTGGCGGCCTCTTCCTCCGGCCGCGCCGACGATCCTCTTAGGAACAACTGTTTTCGAGAACCCGCTCTCCCCCCCCCGCTCCTCCCTGATCAAGCACGCAGCAGCTTAACACTCGTGTGTACTCAAAAAAACAAGGACAAGAGATGGAAGATAAGAAAAAAAGGGAAGATGAAAAAATCTGGTTAAAAGAAAAAATAACTTACCCATCTATCTTCCTTTTTCACGTGAGCCACGTAGTGGCCAGAGTGCGGACTATTTCCCATGTGGGCTAATGAATGCAACGAAGGCGATATTTGCCACTTCCATCACTGAATTCTCGAGATGTAGCCGGTTCCAAAGGTGTTGTATTCTCTCCGGGGACGGCGAGCCACCACATTCAGGGGAGGATCTTGCATTTCGAAAGCTTTCTGAATTGTAACTGAAAGTAGAGCAACACAACGAGAAACGGGGTTGAAACATTACTCTTCAGCGTGAAACAAATAACACTCCGCAGACGCGAGCCGCGGAAGCCGAACCGCGCGTTTGCGTCGCGGCGATTGTTCCGGCCTCAATGCGTAGCGCAGCTTGATGAGCGGGAATCTGGAACCATGACGTTCACATAAAATGATACACAGAAATAAGGAATAATCGTACCAAAAGCTACGAGCTCATTGAGCCCTTCCATGTGCGCCGGTCCTGCTGAAGCTGGACGACCACCAGCAGGGACCGCTGGTGGGTCATTGAGGGACGGATCATCAAGACGAAGCATAACCCATTCGGCAGCTGCCTCGACGCCTCCACTTCTACCAGTCTCTATTGCAGCTTTGATCGACGCATTTCTCGTGAATCCCATCGCTTCTAACTTGAAACACAAGGTTAAACCCGAATCATCGAAAATATTCCAAAAAGCACACCTGCTCCGCGATAGATCTATCATAGTCTGGCAGCGCCGGAGGTGGCGATGCCGTTTGCATCATCAGGAAGAAGTGCCTCATTCTCCTTTTTCCCAATTCTCGAAGACCGGACAGATCTATTTCATCCGGAACCTAAAAAAATCAATGAGATCTTCGTTTGCAAACCAAACATAGAAATGGAGAAATTTTGAGTCAGTGCCAACATCATCCGTTACGACGGTAGTGGCGGATACGGTATGGGGCACGAGGCGCTAGTAAGCCGCGGGCACATAGATCCGGGGGCGTTTAAGAGCTCGGAGGGCGGGCTTACCCAACGGTTAACCAAAGGCAAGATGTGTCCCTATCCCTCGTAATATATAAAGCAGTAAAGGATGTTTGTCTGTCTGTCTGTTTGTAACCACTAGGCTCACTCGCTACGTAGACCCATGAAATTACTTGGGAGATGGGCCCGGATGGGTGGGAGGCTGTCCTTAGGTCGTGTACGGTTGCCTAAAAGGATACGGTAGTGGGCGGGGCCGACCCGATGGGCGGGGCTTGCGCCAAAATTTCTGTTGGAAATATCGATTTTCGCGTAAAGGGCTCGAATGAGGTTGGAAATTGCAGTATAGATTGGGGCTGTGGTAAAGGTTGGTATTCCACCCGGCCACGTGCTATCGATCGATATCGATTGAAAATATCGGTTTTTGCGCAGAGGGCTCGAATGAGGTTGGGAATCACAGTATTGATTGGGTGCTGTCACGGAAAAAGAATTTTTATAGGGCCACGTGCTATCGATCGATATCGATTGAAAATATCGGTTTTTGCGCAGAGGGCTCGAATGAGGTTGGGAATCACAGTATTGATTGGGTGCTGTCACGGAAAAAGAATTTTTCATAGGGCCACGTGCTATCGATCGATATCGATTGAAAATATCGGTTTTTGCGCAGAGGGCTCGAATGAGGTTGGGAATCACAGTATTGATTGGGTGCTGTCACGGAAAAAGAATTTTTATAGGGCCACGTGCTATCGATCGATATCGATTGAAAATATCGGTTTTTGCGCAGAGGGCTCGAATGAGGTTGGGAATCACAGTATTGATTGGGTGCTGTCACGGAAAAAGAATTTTTCATAGGGCCACGTGCTATCGATCGATATCGATTGAAAATATCGGTTTTTGCGCAGAGGGCTCGAATGAGGTTGGGAATCACAGTATTGATTGGGTGCTGTCACGGAAAAAGAATTTTTATAGGGCCACGTGCTATCGATCGATATCGATTGAAAATATCGGTTTTTGCGCAGAGGGCTCGAATGAGGTTGGGAATCACAGTATTGATTGGGTGCTGTCACGGAAAAAGAATTTTTATAGGGCCACGTGCTATCGATCGATATCGATTGAAAATATCGGTTTTTGCGCAGAGGGCTCGAATGAGGTTGGGAATCACAGTATTGATAGGGTGCTGTAACGGAAAAAAGAATTTTTCATAGGGCCACGTGCTATCGATCGATATCGATTGAAAATATCGGTTTTTGCGCAGAGGGCTCGAATGAGGTTGGGAATCACAGTATTGATTGGGTGCTGTCACGGAAAAAGAATTTTTATAGGGCCACGTGCTATCGATCGATATCGATTGAAAATATCGGTTTTTGCGCAGAGGGCTCGAATGAGGTTGGAAATTACAGTATAGATTGGGGGCTGTGGTAAAGGTTGGTATTCCACCCGGTCACGTGCTATCGATCGATATCGATTGAAAATATCGGTTTTTGCGCAGAGGGCTCGAATGAGGTTGGGAATCACAGTATTGATTGGGTGCTGTCACGGAAAAAGAATTTTTCATAGGGCCACGTGCTATCGATCGATATCGATTGAAAATATCGGTTTTTGCGCAGGGGGGGCTTCGAATGAGGTTGGAAATTGCAGTATAGATTGGGGGCTGTGGTAAAGGTTGGTATTCCACCCGGTCACGTGCTATCGATCGATATCGATTGAAAATATCGGTTTTTGCGCAGAGGGCTCGAATGAGGTTGGGAATCACAGTATTGATTGGGTGCTGTCCCGGAGAAAGAATTTTTATAGGGCCACCTGCTATCTATCGATCGATAAGGGCCACGTGGTATCGATCGATATCGATTGAAAATATCGGTTTTTGCGCACAAAAACGGTGACTCCAATGAGGATGGAATTCACAGTATTGATTGGATGCTCCAGTGAATGTGCAAATTTACACCGGGAGCATGCCACCGATCGATATCGATCGGAAATATCGATTGCCTGCTGGGAGTGCTGCATTAACTAGGCGGAGCTTTGCCCTCAATAGGCGGGGCACGCGAAGGATCAGGAAGGGCCAACAGCAAATTAATTCGGTCGCAGAGCAACCCAAAGACAAGAAAAAAGTGGGTAAAGGTGCGCACTAAGCTATCATGTCGAACCAGGGAGATTTGATGGTGGTGGGCGAAGTGTCCCCTCATAATAACTAAAAAGAAAACCTACAGCAGGAAAATCGGTCAATACTCAAGCTGTTTCCAGCACACCTAACTTTAGCCGAAGCTCGCCCATAGGTTGCGGAACGTTCTAGACTGGGCTGTGTAAATACCTCATAAGAGGTTTAGAAAAGTCCCAGAAAGAGTGGAAAGAAGTGGATGGATGCTGAATAGGAAGGGGAGGTTCAATTTCGCGACGAGCGTGAACTGTGAACCAAAGTGGGCTCCAAAGTTGCCACCCAGATAATCGTTCGGTTCTGAGAAGTCAGCTCGCCCGAGGTCCCAGAAAGAGGGAAAAAGTAGATAGAGGTCAGAGTAAGGAGGGAAATTGAATTTCGATGGCAAGCGTGGCGCGCACTGAAGTGCGCGGAGTTTGCCAGGAATTTTCATGCTTTGGATTCGAGAGATCCAAAACCCGGTACATTACCCGATATCGGTGCGCTGAGGCGCTGGAAGTGGGTGAGTTTGCCGCAAAACATTAAAATCCGGAGAGCCTCATAAGAGAAGGCAAATGGATAAAGGCCAGAGATGGGGGAGGAGGGGAAGCTTTATGTTGATGGTGGGTGTGGCGCGTACTGGAGTGCCGCGGAGTTTGCCAGGAAATTTTTATAATTTGGTCCCGAGAGATCCAAAACCCGGTACATTACCCGATATCGGTGCGCTGATGCGCTGGAAGTGGGTGAGTTCGCCGCGAAACATAGAAATTCGGAGAAGCCCCATAAGTGAATGGCAAATGGATAAATTCCGGAGATGGGGGAAAGCTTTATGTTGATGGTGGGTGTGGCGCGTACTGAAGGGCGCGGAGTTTGCCAGGAAATTTTATAATTTGGTTCCGATAAGTCTCAGAAACCGGTAAAGAGGTAGTAGTATCCTAGCAAAGGAAGGGAGGGTACGGATATCGGTGCGCCTGGACCGCTGAAAGTGGGCGATTTTGCCGCCAATCTCCAAATCGGAGAGGTCCCAAAAAAGAGGAGAGCGTAGAGAAGTAAGAGTGAGAGGGAAGGCTAAATGTTGATGTTGGGCGTAGTACCAAGTGGCGGAGTTTTCTCAGAAACTTTATGATTTGTTTGTGAGAGGTTTCAAGTAGGTGAAGGAGTAGTTAGACTCCAGCGAGGAAGGAAACTCACCCGTTATCGGTGTGCGTAGCGCGGACCAAAATTGGGGCTTTCAACAGAAATTTCGTAATTTGTTATCAAAACCAGTCGCATCGCCCGGCTACGCCGGGCTCTGCTCCTTCCTGGGGTCGGAATGCCCGGCTGGCGCCGGGCATTCCTCCCATCGGCAGTATGCTATATGGCGTCAGCGCACATCGGTTCAGATCACCTCCCCCCCCCACCCCGGTTTGTGTTGGTTCTTTTTTTACCGCGTACTCATCACCAAATTCATAGCGTGCCACCTTCGTCAGTTCTTGGGGCGATCGACTCTTTATTTTTATGTGAGTTTCACAATTTGGGCATGTAGAGTTAAGCTCTCTCACTACACTGCAGCGCTCTCTCACGACGTTATCTTGCCATCATTCCACATCCATAGGACAACAAATATTGCTTTCTGATGGGGAATGATGGCAAGATAACAGTCGTGAGAGAGCTTAACTCTACATGCCCAAATTGTGAACAGAGAAAAAAAAAGAAAAAAAGAATCACTCAAATAATAAAGGAGTCGATCGCCCCAAGAACTGACGAAGGTGGCACGCTATGAATTTGGTGATGAGTACGCGGTAAAAAAAAACCAACACAAACCGGGGTGGGGGGAGGTGATCTGAACCGATGTGCGCTATATGGCGTGTGCCGATGGGAGGAATGCCCGGCGCCAGCCGGGCATTCCGACCCCAGGAAGGAGCAGAGCCCGGCGTAGCCGGGCGATGCGACTGGTGGTGGTAATAATCTGGAAAGACAAAACACTGAATTGCGCGCTGGGTCGCCTACGGAAGCACAGTAAAACCCTAATCGCATTAAAATGCTACTAAGATCTTGAACAGGAACAGAATTGCGTTCAATTAAAACGAGTTGAATCAAAGCGAAAACCATACCTCTACCCTCACTTAGCTCGTAACGCCATGCGCTCGCGAGGGGCGAGGCCAATAATCGTTAAGTTTAATTCAGTGGGTCAAAGGAATGACACTGAGAACAGCACATATTTGGATATAAAGAACGTAGCTACTAGGCAAGACACGGACCCCCCGATAAATTTATTAGCTGTTCTAGTATAAACAAGCAAGGTACGTGAGGGACATGCCAAGACCCTCAACCGGGCAACGACAATGTGCGCGCAGTGTCCCGTCTGCAGTTAAACAGTACTATTCTCAATCTAAAACAGAAATGCGAGTTCAAGGACATTGTCAGTTTGTGCTATGAACAAACCTGCAAGTCAATATCGAGTTTCTTCACGGTGAAATCAGGTGACATCGTAAATCTCTAAAATAACGATAGATTTTGCAAAAAAAAAAATGAAAAATGATTTTTCACAGGTGATTCAAAAGCCTCACTAGTAAAAAATACAAACCAACAAATATAGGGAACGATACCCGTAAATGACTCACCTGTGCTTGCAAGAAAAGGAAGTCAGGGAAAGTTTTGAACCGTATAGTCGTTCGCGCTCCCCTCTTCTCCTTTGTAATAGGACTTACAAAGTCCTAAAATATTGAACACTTTTCCAAGTAGGCGATGGGATACGATTTCTAGCTGTAAAAATCAATTCTGAATTTGCTCAAAACCTCAATCGTTTCTGGTTCAAACAGAGCGTGAAGACAATCAGTAAGAGCAACTGTGGATCTTTGGCCTTCTCCATCTCCAGCCCTAATCGCTGCCTAAAACCAACTGCATAACTTAACTAGATTTCAGGGGAACGAAAAATTGGAAATACCTTTGGAACCGGTACAGCTAGCACTGTTTCTTCTCTATCTGTGTACCGCACCATAGTAGACGCAATATCCTCAAATCTGCTTTCCATCTTGAATCTGAACCAGACTTATAAATGCAACTGCGACTATATAACTTTTCAGGATTCCCTGTGTTGGAGAAGACGATGGAAATGAGAAACACCCACTTTAATGATAGAGTTGGGTCGTGAACCTCAACAGGTGTGTTCGATGAAATCTTGTCCAAAAGGAACCTTAAAAAATTGAAAATTCCGAAAAAAAAATCCACAAGAGAAACAGTAGTGATGATACTGTAAGAGAAATCGGCATTAAATGAATCTTTCGGTAACTCTTTGGTCCCGAATTCAATGGGCCTTGTGAGGAATTACCGATATGCCGGGATAGCAGCGTTTGTAATGGGTGCACTCACATGGACGCAAAATTTGAAGGAGATAATATTGATGCTTTCAAAGCAGAGAGAAGTCTAGCGAGGAAACGCGGGTTTAAAATTAACACAAAGTAGAACACAGGTTCTTAGCAATATCTGAGGGGAGAGGGGGGGGGGGCAGAGATTGAAAGAATTGCGTATTTTCAGGAATCAAAATTAGTACATTCAAGGAAACATTAGAGAGCACTTATTTCGACAAAGTCATTTGTTCAAACAACATAGAAGGTGAAAGGCGACCATAAAAAAGAAAGTAGATTCAAATGGAATGGGGCATCAGAATTGAAAGGAGGACGAGTTTTAAGGAACAGGAGAAAATCAAGTCTAAGAAGGCAAAGGGAAAAAATATCGGGAATTTTAGGGTAAAACGGTAAAAAATCAAACTACGTCACAGCAACAAAAACGTCATGAAAACCTTCTATTTTGTATACGATCAGAGCATACCTGACATACTCTTCTGCATCCTGTTGCCGACTGGAAGAAAACTCAGGATGATTTCCAGCAACGACTCGTTTGAACTGTGATGGTTTGATACCATTCATGGTGCTATTTTCCTAAGATCTTTTGTAAATCTAATGCACAAAACCGTATTCAAGGTAACGAGCCGGAAATTTCAATCCTAAAGACATCACAAATCACGATTGAAACGTACCACCGAATAATCTCCACTAGCCATAGCAGAAAATAACTTAGCCACTTGTGCGTTGAAGTCATGATGTACCTTAATTATGACTAATTACCGCCCTATATAGCGTTGTAGCGACTGCTTGGAAGAAAAACTGAAGTAAAACCGATACAAAGGGCGAGAATTAAAAACTTGCGCTTTAAGGGGGGTAAGGAGAACAACTTAAACAAAGAGACTCACATCAAGAGGAGGTATCCTAGCTAATATCGGACCAGCACCATCCACAACCCGTTACAAATGACGGAACAACGAGCAAAGATTGCAAAACCTACACAAAAATAATCATACCTTCACTGAACACCACCAAAAACAGCGTTCATACCGAATTCATATAACAGCTAGATCCGATGTTGATCAAACCGGTGTATCCAGGTCCGAAAATATTCTCCAAGCTTGCACCATCCTCTTGACATTTCGCCCACTCCCACCTAAATCACAACGAAACAACGAAAGTCGTAGCGAAATGTTCTAAATGATCGCGCAAGTAAGCAACTCACTTTTGATTCATATCCAACTCCAATTCTAGTGTACTTTTCTCCGTCTTTTTCAATTTCTTCGGATCTATACCAAAATGAGCTAGATGCTTTTCTAGGTTGGGATCGATAACAGCGTCATCCTCATCGTAGCTGGAAAGCGCAACTATATGAGAGAAGTTTAATGTTGTAACAGAAAAAGCAATAAACCTAAAAACGTCCGCAGTTCCATCGCTCGAAATCGTGCCGAGTTTAACTACCAATGGATACCTGAAAACCTTGATATGAATGAATCAACAATGCAAAATAACGAAGAACACACCCAGTAGCATCGTAATACTGCTTCATGTGGTTGTTTCCTTTGCACATTTGACCTTCGGCGACAAACTGACTTCTGCCACATCTAATGGCACCATCAGTTAAATTCAACCACAAGTTCTCGTTCATAGTACAACCATCCGCTTCACAAGTCCAGCCACTCATTGGAATCTGATGCAAGTACAGGTCGTGCTTCTTGATCAACAATACTATTGCTCGTTAGAAAACCGGTACATAATGACAAACAACTGAAAGGACCTTTCTAGCAGTCATAACGTAACAAGATAACCATCACTAGAACCTTCAAAGCAGTGGAAAATCCAGCCGTTTCTTCGTTTCCTACCATGTTCCACTGTCATCTTCACTTTTAGCATTAATTCAGAATCTTTCACAAAAAATAGCTAAGACAGGACTAAAATATGCTTAAGCTGCGTCGTTGACGAGAATTGTATTAAATTCAAAACAAGCCCCAAGCCCAAAACGTTTTTCAAGGATCTATACTTAAGTCATCGAATACACCTTCACATCCACCAACGAGAAAGGAACTTTCGTGGTGATGGTTTCAAATTAGCAAACAGAAGACAACAAAAAGGCCAAAAATTAAACTACAGTTGAAATCAACTTTGATCAAACATCAGAACAATGGGTGAAAAACCTGTGACCCGTGGAAAAAGTAAAACCGGCCTAACTGTAATTATAGCATGTGACTCACCACCTTCCCATTAGATAACTGCTCCAAATTGCTGTGTTTGGTTATTTGTTTTATCTGAAATGCGAGTTTTTTTTAGAAAGGTAAAGAGAATTGAAACATATAAGCAACAGAGGGTATGTTCAGCACCTCTCCATCCCATGCATTGCTGGCGCTTTGCAACAGCGCTATTCGTTCAGCACTTGTAGCGGCAATTACATATTGACACGTGCTGTAATAGTGACTGGGTGAAATAATGACAAAAATATTGTTCATTTAAAAATTGTAGCTTTGCGAAACATAAACACAAGTTGTAGAATGGTGATCAGCAAATAATGAAACAAACCCATATAGATCTGAACCAAGCTTTTCATCAATCGGGCATTTGGCATTAATGTGTGGGAATGAGACCAAAGAGAATGTGTCTTGAACCTCAAACCTGAAACAGATTGAAACCTCCAGCAAAATGCGCTATAATTCGAAGACTTGTTGAGCAAATCTTACTTCTTTTCGAGTCCGGTATCAATAGCAAGACGTGTTATCTTGTCCTTAGGTTCACCATCAGATTCCTCCTCAGGCTCAAGATTTACCTAGACGTTCTAGAATTTCTGCGAAACGAATAAATGAAACAGATGGATTCAAGGTTGTTCAAAACATTCACTGGCTGGTAATATCTTTAGTTTACACTTTTAAATATGAAGTAATTCACGGAGGGTAGACCTTGAAAAGCGACTAAATACCTCACCTTTTTACTTAAAATGTGGAGGAATAATGTATTGCGAGACTGCTCCGCATACAGCCCCACATGAGTAAAGCAGAAGCAAGCATAAGTTTTCAGGCACACAAACAGACCACCTGGAATGAACACCGGACGATTATGTTGACTTGCCAGTAAAACTACTAACCTTTGAAAGGGTAGATTTAATGGATTTTACCACTCGTTATCAAGAAAACTATGGTTTCCATGCAAAACTGAATCGAAAATCGAATGAGCTATTCCAGAAAAACTAAACTTTTGAAAAAATACTATTAAAAATATTGAAAATTTACCACCTACACACTTATTTACCAGGATAATCTGCCGCTTTTTGAATAAAAAGTTGAGTACACCGTCTCATTAGATTTCAGGCCACTATTGCACTATTACAACCCCAGTGGGGGCCGAGATGGGTCAAAAAATAATTTTCGCTGAAACTTCTGCTATGGGGGTTATCGAGGGTCCTGATCACGAATATGACATTTATTCGGCGCAAACTGGCGCCAGCAGGCGCCACAACTGATTCTCACAAAATTCTCAACTTCTGTATGTCCTGATCACGAATATGACACTCGTTTTTGACATTCGTGCTGTTTAACGCATATTTTCTGCTTTTCTAAGCTTTCTCACCTATAGCGCCTAAGACTAAGCTTAGGGGAGGGGAGTGAAACTCCGGAGTGGGTAAACCACGCACCGTGTGGCAAAAGTTGGAGTGTGTTAGACCACAGGGGAGTGGCCTACTCACTTTGGAGCCCTGCTTACAGAAGTTACAGCGAATTTAGTGAAATCAGTCGTGGCGCCACCTGGCGCCAAATTGGCGCCAGCGCCAAAAATGATATCATTCGTGATCAGGACCCTCGATAACCCCCATAGCCGAAGTTTCAGCGAAAATTATTTTTTGACCCATCTCACCCCTACTGGGGTTGTAATAGTGCAACAG